TTTTTTTTTTTTTTTCTATTTTTCTCAGTTTTATTCCTGATTTATTAGGTTTGTTTGCTTATTTTTCCTATATTTTACTTTGTTTGGTTGATTTTATTCTGTTCTTTCTATCATTCTAGATAACTGACTGCATTTATCTTTCTTTTACCTGAATTCTACAAAGCAAGGGTTTTCATTAGTAACTGACACTGAATGCCTTGGAGAATAAACTCCCGAAACATAAATAAAAAATTTCTAACTGAGGAACAGTAGTATTCTTAAATTTTACAGACAAGTAGTTACAGTAAAAGTAATTTTTAATATATTTAAATAAGTAATCTTTAAATAATTTGATTATAAGGTTTTGCTTTATCACTGCTGTGCTGGTATGGAACGAAAGGTTATTACTGTGTTTCTAGTTCAGAACAGTGTCTCTTCTGTTTGTTGAGTCTGAATCAATTTGCATGCTGCTCTGTGTAGGACAGACTTTAAACAGGCACTTAACGTTCCAGCAGCATCCAGATCTGCCTCCTGCAAAATAATCTAAATAAAATCAATGACTCCTTAGGAATGAAGTGCTGTTTAATGGGAGTTTATGGGATAAGGACCTAGTTCTTAATTTGGAACACTTCCTTTTGGTGTTAGACAGTTCCAGTTTCCAAAACTAAAGAGGTTCAAAGAAACATTGTTTCTTCTTTTGTTGTGTACAGTTTGAACTAAGAAAATAAAATGCATGAAAGATTATAAGCAAAATAATAGTGTTGTAGACTAAAAAAGGAATCTGTTTCTTTAGTGGGCTGAAAAATTGATAGGCATTAGTGAGGGTCCTGCAGCAATTTTACCAATAGCAATTCCATACGGCATCAACCATCATTCAAATGATCATGGAATACATCTAAATTTGAGCATCAGTTGCATCAATAAGTATTAAATATATTTGTTTTAGTGTGCAATAAGGAAGTGTTGCTTTCCAAGAGAAAGAAGAGTAGTGGGTTCAGCATTATTCTGCTAGCAGATATCCAATGTAGATTTGAGCTCCAGTGCAAATGACCAAAAGTGGGATGAGAACATATTGTGAAACTCAAAGTGTAGAAGACAGTGTTGTTACTAATCCAGAATAAATCCTTGCCTGTAGAGAGTTTTTGTATTATGGGAAGTGTATGCCTCAGCTGCAGTGGCTTGTGTTGGAAGATAAGACTGCTGTCCCTTAGGTCAGATATACCTTTTCCTCCCAGAGCAGTTATGAAATGTCCCGAAAAGAGTTGAATCAAACCATGTAGGAAACTCATCACTATTGATGGCAGAATTGTAGACTATCTTTACATATTCTTTTAAGCACATTTCTTTAATTACTTGAAATTATGCTCACTAAAGTTTGCTGTATGGTGTTCCATATAGCAATGTGCAGTGAGGCAACTCCCAGTCTTTTTAGACATACATTGAAATAGCTTGGACTGACCAGGATAGCCTAATGTTGAACTTAGTGAAAATTATGATGGGAGAGGAGATAGCCTAAGGTATGGCATATGTGAAGTCGATTTGTTCCTAGGAAAGGTTTTAATATTTGACATTCCAGAATCAATTTTTGTTTTATTTTAGAGTTAATTATCACATTTTCTATCTCCTTTCATGATCGTTTGAAATTCAAGGAAAAGGATTATTATGCTCAAGATAAGCAGTTTATCTCTTTAGAAAGCTGTGGATTTCTGATTATTTAATAAATTTTGTTTATTAATTGTACTCAGAATTTTTTCTGCACTTAGAGTCAATGTGTGTGTAAGATCCATAAATTAAGGATATGACAATGAACCATCTGACAGAATGGATGATTTGGATGAGCTACTCTTTTTCCTAAAAGAATAAAATAAACTGCAAGCAGCTGGCAAATCGTTGGCTACTGGGATAGTTTCCATTTTTACAAAATTGTATTAAATATTCTTTTAAGAGGTCATAGATTTTACAAAATACTGCTAACTCACCTGATGATAACACACAGATGAGTCATATGTCTGTCAAGTAATTTATTTCTATGCTGCTGTGTAGTAAATTCATTAATTAATTGAACATTAAGAAGTTATTTTAGTGCTTTGATTTTTTAAATTAAGAATCTGTAGGGAAAATTTGTGTGAAGGTCAGTTATTACTCAGTATTAACAAAAAGTGAATGATGGTGTTTTGTTTTTTTGTTGTTTTTTTTTTGTGAATTGATAGAGCAACAGCTCTCAGAGTAGCATAGCATTTGTCCAAGCGTTTAAGTGAGGTTGATTCAATTGTATCTAAATGTAACCTATGGACTGTAATTGTTTTTGCAATAAAGAAAAAGCTATCAATAAACACCTTTAGTAAGGCCAGGATGTAACACTGTCTCAGTGTTCCACTGCAGCCAGATCTGTTTTCTGATACCGTTAACGACACATTTTTTTTTTTTACTGTAAGCATAGAAAAAAGAAAAAAAAAGAAAAAAAAAAAGTTTCACTTTTAGGGTTGCCCGTATGCTATTGTAAAATAAAGTGCCAAAAGATTCATTAATACACAGAGTAATAAAAATACTAGTTGTCAGAGATGATCTATTTCTTTTAGTTTTGTATAAAAAATTAATTTTAATTAAAACCTTTACACAATGTTTTTCTTGTTTTATAAATTTCAATAAAACATTTATTAATAATTTTTAAGAATAAATTTCAATTCAGAACACATCACTTAATGAAGCTATTAAATTTCTCTTGCTTGAATATTTAATTTTTTGAGACATCCTGAGAATTAATTTTTTATCTGTTACATTGGATCATTCTCTTTTGAAAATTGTGGATTTCTTGTCTATATTTTAGTGTTGGTAAAAAAGGTTCAATTAGCATTAGCAATTCTAATGAACAGAAATAGAAGAAAAAAATTAAAAGCTTAAAATGGTAAATAATATTTTTGAATTATTTTCTTTATTGTCTTTATTTGCAATTTTTATTCTGATGTGTGATTGAATATTTTAAGCAATGCCAAAATGGAACTCCCTGTCTTGTAAAGAATTGCAAATATGTACATAGATAGGTCACCTTTCTAGCACTTTCCATTCTTGTTACCTTCACAAAGCTACCAGTAAGAATCTTTGGGGTTTTTTTATCTT